GGGGGGGGGGAGAAAGGAGGAGCGAGGGACACGGGCGACGAAGCGACGGAAAGCGAGAGGTTGCTGCTGCCAGGCCCAGCCTGTCTGGAGGGAGATCCCAAAAAAAAGTCGCCCACACCCCCTCCCCGCCTCACCGGCCCCGATCCGGCCGCAGGTCGCAAATGGCCGAGCCCAGGAAAGGGACGACAACCACGGCGGATCTGGAACTGACATGCCGCCCGTGGGCTTGGCCGCTGCGGTATGCCCCCCCCCTCCCCATGGAAGAGCTTCCCCAGATGGCGTGGACAGCCTCCATGAGTGGGGGTGATGGGGAAAATGCGGCCAGATGTCCTCCAGTGCGTGTGAGGGGTGTGCGTGCAGGGGGGGGGGGGGGGGGGGGGGGGGGGGGGAGAGGAAGCGAAAAAGGGGCACCCCCAAGCGGCGATCGCACTTGGTTGAGGGGTAGATGCAAGATGACGTGATCATGTGACGCCGGCGCACCCGCGCCAGAAGGCGGCCAAACACACCGGCCCCGGTGTTGTGCGCACGAACGCGCGCGCGCGCGCGTGAGAACGTGCGTAACCACGACGCCCTGGGCGCTTGCGGTCAAAGGCCTGTGTGGCCCTCTCTCTCTGGGGCCGCCCCGCCCCGTGCGCCAGGCCCCCCCTCCTCCCCCTCTTCCGGCAACGCGCGCTGTGCGCCGCCCCCGCGCGCCCCCACCAGCCGAGACAATTCCCCCCTGGCCCCTTCCGCACGCTACCAGAGAGAATATGAGAGAGAGAGAGTGCTGTATGACAAGAGGAGGGAGAGGGAAGTTTGAAACTTTATTGTTTGATTTGCTCGCCGCCCGGCCGGCCCCCACAGCAGGCACCGACGACGCAGCAGTGTGCGCACACACGCCGTCGATATGTCGCGACAAGGCCACCATGCTCCGCTCTACAAGGAGGAGGGGGGTGAGAGAAGAAGGCGATGAGTGCGTGTGTTAGAGAGCAATGGGAGGGGGTGTGTGTGCAGGAGAGAGAGAGAGGGGGGGTGTTTTACTCAACAAGAAAAGTGATCATCAGGCGGCCCTTTTGGGGACGGCTGTAGGTATTAGCATGAAAATTTTTGGCAATCATCGTAATCGACACGCGTATTGCGCGCGCGCGCGCCGGGGAGAGGAGGGGGAAGCGGTGTGACCGCAGGGAGGGGGATATACGTACGTATTTGGTGGGAAGGGGGACATGCCCGAGAGATGTGGAGAACACACACGGGCTGCCGAGTGCACGGGATGCGCGCGATGTGTACCACCGCAGACACAGCGCGAGAAGTGCGCGGCCAGGAGTGGGGGGCTGTGTGTGGGGGGGAGATAGGAAGAGAGAAGGAAACACGGATGTAAGAATGTGTATGGAAAGAGGATGGTTTCTATTTGGGGGATATATATGTGGGAGAAGCGCCAAAGACACACACACGCAGGAAGGTCCGGGAGGGAGCAGGCAGAAGTGCCCCCTCTCTCAGATGCCTCCCCACAGGGAAAGTGTGTGCAAAGGTGCAACAGAGGAAGAGAGAGAGAGGCTTGGGCGCACATGAACCATGCACAGACACCGCGCTCCCCCGTGAGAGGGTGGGGAAGGGGGCCGAGCGACCCGGCGCATTCTCAACAAGGAGGGATGTTTGGCTAAGAGGGGGAGAGAGAAAGAGGGTGTCAGAGGAAGGATGTGGCGCGGGGTGGAGGGCGGGCGTGGAATAAAAAGGAAGAGAACTCAGGCATCAGAATGTGGACATCATGCTTCAGACGAAAGATGGTTTTGATGAACATCAGAGTGGATGTGGGGAGGAGAGAGGATAGAGGGAGAGACGGGCATGGACCCAGGGGGGTTGTGTATGTACCTTGTCGTGCGTGTGACCGACACATGGGGAGGGTCGGAACACGGAGAAAGGGAGGGCGCACACATCCACAGGAGGTGTGTCTACAGAGGAGGGAGGAGAGTGTGAGAAGAGAGTGGCGGAGGAGGAGGGAAGATGCGCAGAGGGCAATCTAACTCTGAATTGAACAGTCGTCACTGAACATCTGACGGCCTTTCCTATCATTATTTGTTGCGGTTCTCATCATAGCACTATAGGGGGGAGGAGAGGGGAAGGAGGAGAGGGGAGACGTCTGTGGGAGGGGGGAGAGAGGGAGGAGTTAGGAATGGGGAGGGAGGAGGGGGATGAGGCGGGAGAGAAAACGCGTGTTTTCTCAGTGCGTATCGCGAAATACAAAACCGTTCGAATCATCAGATTCATACAGCCAAGGGTGAATTTCATCAAGGAAGGACACGGGAGGCGGAGAGAGGGCGGGCAGCCGCGGACGTACACTGTGTGTGTGGGGAGGGACACCACAGAACAAGGGCCATGGAGGAGAGAGGCACATGCATCTCCACCCCTCGGGTGGATGAGCGACAGGGCCACTGAGAAGAGGAAGAGAATGTTAGAAGAGAGGCGGAAGGGAGGAGAGGGAGGAAGATGGGCTGATGGAGGGGATCAGACATCTAAGGAAGGTCCATATATTCCGTCATCTACCTAAGGTATAAGGTGGAAACTGCGAACATGGCTGGTTTTTCATCACGAATAGGGGGGAGGAGGGGAGGAGGAGGGGGGCGGGGCGGGTATGCGTACACTCTTCGCCAAGTAGGATGGCTGGCCCTGGGGGAGGGCGGCGGCGGCTCGAGGTGGGGGCCAAGAGCCAGGGAAAGTGACCGGCAACAGCTTCGGAGGTAGGGGCGTGCGCGCGTGCTCTCACATGCAGAAGGGCGGCCTACGATGGGAGGAGGGGAGGCGATGTCAGAAAGGGAGTGGCGAGGAGCGGGGGAGATGGGAGGGGGAAGGGCGTTCAGGTAAACCCGTTTGGCTGTGGGCACTGCATTTATCAGCAGAGTCTCGTATGACTGGGGCGGCAGGGTCTCATCAGGACAAGGGAGGGGGGAGGGGGAAGGAGGCGTACTCTGACTGTGTGAGGAGGGGGGAAGCTCGCGTCGCAGGCGCAGACATACTCCAAGATGCCCGGTCCCCAGAGGGAAGGGGGCTCTCTCTCATGGATCTCCAACACTATGGGACTGCTTGGGGAGGGGGCTATCGAGAGGAGAGGGGGAAGGGGGGGGGCGAGAGGAGTTAGAAGGAGGGAGACATGTGGAGGGGAGGAGGGAGGAGAGGAGGGGGGGGGGATGACAGACGCCGAGTGATCAGCTAAAGCTGGCTTGCGCCGTAGGGGGATACCCAACGACGGGCAAAATTTCTTCAACACGGTCGTTTTGACGGGATAAGAAGACAAGGCATCATTTCGGCGCGCGTCTGCGGAGGGGCAATGGCAGGAGAATGGAGGGGGGGGGGAGAACGCGCGGGGGGGGAAGCGGGTAACGAACCAGACACAGTGGGGGGGAAAGGGGGCACAGAGAGAGCGCGAGTGAAGGAGTGGGCGGCGTGGGATCCTCCGACAGCACGAGACACGCAAGCACAAGAGCCGGCCACCAAGAAGGAGCACATCCACACAGTGCCAAGGTCTCCTTCCGGTGGTAAGCGGGCACACGCGCAGCAGCAGCAGCGAGCATGCACACAAACACACAGGCAAAGGCACAGAGAGAGGAGAGGCAAGACACGGGGGGGGGTGGGAGCACAAGGTGGGGCACAGCGCACGCGATGCAAGGCTGAAAGAGGGCCGCCTCACTCCACACAGAGTGAGGCTGTGACCCTCTTCGCTTCGTCTTCAGTGGCCGCCCGGCGGCCCCTTATATAGTAGGCCATTTTCCCCCTCGACGCTCCCCCGCCCCCCTCCGTCCCGCCCCCCCCAGGGCGCGGGGGGGCCTGTGGCAAGACGTCCCCGGGGCGGGGCTGGCCGGGCAACGATTCGAGCAGCACCGGAGAGGAAGGCCACCAGAGCCAGGCTGGGGCGGGGCGCGAAGGGGGGGGGGGGGGCCGACCATGCAGCCGCCCCGTGCCCGGCCTCCAGGGGACTCACTCCCCCATGCCGGGACACACGGCGCCCATGCGACACGGTCGCCGAGGACCAGGCCGCCGGGCACGACTGGCGCCGGAGCCACCACCAAGAGCTGGCGGGCCCCAGGAGTCGCCCCCCCCCCCCCGCCCTGGTCGGCAAATGACCCGACCGCCGGGGTAGGGCAGCGGAGTGCGCTGATCCGCGAGTGCTCGCCCCTTCCCGTCCCAAGGCCCGCACCCAAGCGGGGCACGGCAGACGGAGCAAGCCGGCTGGCGAACCGGGAGGGGCGCGTCACACACGCACCCCCCCGGCTGCCCTCCTCCCCGGCCCCCGGGCGGAGACAAAAACCGAACCCACGTTGGGCGCCAAAAAAGAGCGGCGCCGAGCGACAAGCCCGCCTCTTCCCTCGTGGCATAAAAGGGGGAGGGGGAAAGCCCGGTGGACCGGGGATGCCTCTCGCGCTGGGCGTGCGTCCTCCCCCGTTCTCGCTGGTCCCCGCCCCCCCCCCCATGGCCACTCGGAACAGCGGGCCCCTTTGTCGAAGGCAAGGAGCACAGCGCCAAACCCCGCAGCACGACCGGTCCGCACGAAGGTGCTGGAAAGAGACGGCCGCCTGGTGCCTTCGCCCGGTGTCTGGTCTCCCTTTTCTCCGCCGCCTACGGCCCCCCCTCGGTCCTAATGTGCACTCTCCGAGGAGGCAGGAAACAAGGGACCGCCCGGCCCCGGCCTCCAGCGGGCGACCGCGCGGACAGCCGGGTGGGAGGATTTCTATATAATGCCATTGTGGTTCCATGATGGACTAAGTGGCATTGTTGAGGGTGCACATGATTCCGTCGGGGACTTGGAATCTCAATTCAAAGGGGGCGTGTTTTAAGAGCGTTCGGGACGGAGATGATCACATTGGCCTCTCCTGCCGGCGCCCGTTCTGAATCAACCTCACTCGTTGCCGGCCAGTCTAGAGCTTTATTGCTGAATAAAAAGCACCCTTTTTTGTTGCAAACGACCAACAGGCCGTGTGCCCAACGAGATTGTTGCCGCCATGTTTCGGCCCACCTCCTCTCTCGCTCGGATCGGACCGTCGCCGGCCGAGCGAACGGTCTCCTATTGGGTTGGTGTATTCTCTTCGGCACAGACCGCCCCACGAAAGCAGGGCGCCCGGGTCTGTGGGATGCCCCACCCCGGGCGGGGGGGGGGGGGGGACTTGACAGTGCCCGAGGGCTGCCGCGGCCTGCCTCCCTGGGCGTCGGCGAGTCGGCCCGAATGCCGGCGGACGGGGTGGAAAAACTCAGGATGGCCTCCCCACTGCGGGGGGCGCCCCCGCGCGCCGCGAGAGTCGCGCCAGCACCAGACCTGGAAATGCGAGGGGGAGGGGAGGCTGAACGTCGCGCGAGCCCCTGTTGGATGTACCCCCAGGCTCTTTTTTGCAGTACCGAAGACCAGGCACGCGCGGGAGCGGCGAGGGGCGAAGGTACCGTCCAGTGTCCTCTCCCCCCGCCCCCCGTGGGCACATGAAGCCCTGCGCCGCCGGGCTGGTGGCCATGCGCCAGGGGGCTGCTTGTGTGTGCCTATGCCCGGGGGCGGTGCAGTGCAGTGTGCGTCCGGGTCCCTGGTCCCTTTTGCCAGGGGCCTGGGCAAGCAGTCCCCCCGCCCCCCCCCCCGGGAGTCCGTGCCTAACTGGGGGGGGGGGGAGAGACGTGTTGCCCGGGGGCGGGGGCTGGTGGCAGGCAGGCGGGTGTGGACGGATGGCCGGCAAGGGGGGGGGACGCCCGCTTCCGCCGATCCGCCCCCCCCCCTCCCTGCATATCTCCTCGGACACCGCCCTCCCTCCCTGAGTGGTGGGAGGTCGGCGGATGGCGTGCACAAACGGGCGGGGATTTTTCAGCCGGACTATTGCCCGGCGCACTCCGGAAAGGGTTCGTCCTCGCCAGCCCGACCCGTTTTCCATTTGTTATCCCTAACTTTTGAGGTAAAGGTCGTAAGGTCCGTATTTATCCCTTCCCCCTTTCCCCCTCCTCCTTTCCTCCCTCTCCTCCCCCCCCCCTCTCGTGTGCGTGTACACGTCCACATCCGCGGATGGTCCTGCCGTCGTCGGGCGTAGATGCTGTGTGGCCGGCCGGCCCGCCCCTCTCCCCCCTCCCTCCCCGTGAGCGCGTATCCACACCCGCCTGCGTGTGCGGTTGGGCCGATCTGCGCGCGTTTCTCGCCCCCCCCTCCTCCGTCGCCCTCGGGGGCTGTCGTGTCTCCCCTTCTCCTCTCTCCCTCGCTCGCCCCGTGGCTGTCACTTCGACGTGAGGAGATGGGGGGACACCTGGATGCGCCGCGCCCATACTCGCTCGCTCTCGTGCGCGCGGGCATGTGTGTCTGCATGGGGGGGGAGGCCTGGATTGTCTCGCCTCCGACTGCGCGGCAGCAGGAGGGCCCCCCGCCCCGCGCCCGGCACATGGCCAAGTGCCCTCCCTGCCTTGTGCCTGGTCGCGCAAGGGCGGGGGGGGAGAACCGTGTGCTGTGTCCACCCACGACGATCCGCCTCCATCGTGTGGACGGCATCGGATGTACCACCACGGATGCTGCATCCGATGTTCCCCCCCTGATGAGCGAGCGTCGTGTCGCCTGTGGGAGGGCCATGCTCTCTCTCCCTCCCTCCCTCATCCTTTCCTCCTCTGGAGCCCAAGCGTAACCTCCCCCCCTCGTGCCGAGACTGACTCTCCCTCTCCCCCTCGCTGCGCGCCCGCCCCCTTCACCGCCGCCCCCCTCCCGCCCGTTCGTTTATCCCCCTCTCCTCCTCTCGCACAGCAAAAATGCGCCCGGTCCAGACTCTCCAGAAGATTGTCTACCCGGAGGACGTCTCCTGCAAGTTCAACGGCCGCACCGTCACCGTCACCGGTCCCCGCGGTACCCTGACTCGCACCTTCGACTACGTCTCCATCGAGCTTAAGCACAACAAGGCCTCTCGCACCATCAGCGTTTGCGTCTGGTTCGGCCACCGCAAGCATGTTGCCTGCGTCAACACCATCGTCACCCACATCAAGAACATGATCACCGGTGTGACCAAGGGCTTCGAGTACAAGATGCGCTACGTCTACAACCATTTCCCCATCAACGTCATCGTCGAGGGTGGCAAGTCCGTTGAGATCCGCAACTTCCTGGGTGAGCGCCGCGTCCGCGTCATCGAGATGCTCGGCGAGACCGTTGCTGCTCCCTCCTCCATGAAGGATGAGCTCATCCTCACTGGTAACGACATCGACCACGTCTCCCAGTCCGGTGCGTGTCACACAGCCCCTTCTTTTTTTTTTCGCGCACGTGTCCTCTGCGGCGCGCTTGCTTCGTCCTCGCTCCGATGACGTGCCTGGCCCCCCCCCTCTCTCTCTCTCTCTCCTCTCTCACACACATACTGATCGTCCCTCTCTCCTCCCCTTCCCTTCCCCTGCGCGCGCCCGTGTGACGTGTGTGCCCCCCCCACAGCCGCCTCCATCCAGCAGGCCTGCCTTGTCAAGAACAAGGATATCCGTAAGTTCCTTGACGGTATCTACGTCTCTGAGCGCGGCACTGTTGTCAAGGACGATTAAGTCGCCACAACCTGTTGGTCGCGTGCGGTCGTCTGAGGGGGGGTGGCGCCGCTCTCGGTGCTCGCTCATGCGTGCGTGCACCCATGTCCCTGCGGCTGCGCGGGGGGGGGGCGCGCCGGCACCAACCGTGTGCAACTCCCCCTCCCCCGCTCCCTCTCGGCCGCGCTCGCGCGCGTCCTTCTTGTCGTGTCTCGATATGTGCTTCCTCCCACATTACGCTCGTCATCAATACAGAAAGCATGATCTTTTCCCGTCTCTCCTTCTCTCTCCGTGCCTCTTCGCCGCGTGTGTGTTGTCAAGTGCGCATTCGGGCGCGAGCCGCCCCCTCTCTCTCCTCCTCGGGGCCGGGGGCGGGGGGGGGGATCGAGCAGCCTCCCGACACGCGCGCGATGGGTCGGCGGGGCTTCTCCTCCACGGCCGTTGACCCTGCGTGAGGTGGGGATTTGTTGCAGGACGGATGTTCCTGCCGTGTGTGTGTGTGTGTGTGTGTGTGTGTGTGTGTCCTGGCGGGGACGGAGGCATGCATCTGCCAGGGGAACGCCTTGTCTCTCTCTCTTTCTCTCGGATCGCGGCTCCCTCGGGCGGCCCCCTTCCGGCGCTTTGGAGGAGGACGAGAAGTAAGGCAAGCAGGGCCACCCCTCGCCCTCCTCGGGGATGCGTGTCCCAAGGCGCGTTCCATGCCCCGGCAAGGGAGTGCGCGGCAGGACGCCGCCGCCGCCGCCGCACATTGTCATGGGCCAGACCATGGAGATGTGCCATCTTCTCCGGTCGCTGCCGCGAGCCGCCACCGCGCGCATGCCCTTCTCCTCGGCCCGGGGCTTTCTGTTGGCCGCCTTTCCCGATGACGGATTTTCTTGCCCAGTGCGAGGGACATTCCTCCGGACAGGAAGGGGACTCCCTCCTGTGCATGGCTCGGCTCCGGGGAGGAAAGGCCCCCCTCGCGCATGGACGCGCGCGCCTCTCCGGACACATAGACGCGGAGCATCGCCCATCGAAAGCCACACTGCCAGGGCCACTGGCGAGGCCCGGCGGCACGGCCCAACAGGGCGGGAGAGCGGGGCTTCTCCGAGCGCGCGCGCGCTGCTCGGCCGGGGATGGCAGGGGCGCCTGGGGCCTACATGCCACCGTTCGGGGCTCCCCCTCCCCGCCCGGTTCGGGCGCATCGGCCAACCTTGCGGCAGGGCCGGCCAATACGCCGGCAGTCGCCGGGCCCGAAGACCCAATTAACACCATTTGGTTAACTCATAGGACATTACACAAGCGCAATCACATGTGCCACAGGCGTAAATACACGGTAAATGTCCCCCCCTCCCTAGAGTCTCGTCCGTGCTGGCATTCACTCGACCTATGGGGTCCCGTGTCGGGCTCCCCGGTCAGGGAAATTGATTCCAGCTCCTGCCGAATGATGAGTATGCGGGGGGAGGGACGCGGGGAGGGGGGGGGTGCGGACCGAGCGGGGGGATGTTACCGTTCTTTCGCAGACCCTCGCCCGCCGGGAGCCGGGGGTAGGAGGGGGGGGGAACGCGAGTGGCCGATTCGCGGTAGACCTGCCGGGATTGGGTTGCAATTGCGCCGCGCCACGATTTCCCCTGAGGCCCGATTTTCCCCACGGTGGGCGGCGTCGTCGCCCCCCTCCGCCGGCCAGCCATTTGGGTTGCCAGCCTGCGGCCCTCCGGCTGCACCGGCTCCCAAACAGCAGCCACCCCCCTTTGCTCCCCTTTGCACCTTTGTCATCTCCCTACTGGCCGTCGTCGCATCATGTTCCTCTCCCGGTCCCTGGTCCGGGCTGGCGCGTCCCTCCGCAACACCACCTCCCTCGTATGTGTTCCCTGCGTGGCCCTTTTGCCGTTCCCCTGGTCCTCTGTCTCGCCCCCCTCCCTCGCCGGCTAACACTGCTCGCGCTCGCGCTCGCGCTGGCCGCTCTTCGCAGATTTCCGTGCGTGCGTTCACCCAGAGCGTTCCCCGGCGCAACGAGGACAGCCCCTTCTCGTCGGCCGGCGTCCCGCAGGAGACCGCTGCCCGTAGCCCGGTCGTTGACACCGGTGTTTTCAATGAGGTGAACCTCCAGATCGAGGACTTCCCCGGCATTGCCCAGGGGGCCTTCGACCCGTCTATCACCGCCAAGCTCCTGGCCCCCCTGGACCCCGATGAGATTGAGATCAAGCCCGGTACGTGCACGAACGCGCGCGCGCGCGCACACACACACACACACATGCATGGTTTGCAAATGTGCATATACACGCCGCCTGCCTGGTGTCTCTCTCCCTCTCTCTCTCTCTGACAAGAGCCCCCTCCCGACAGACGGCCTGATCTATCTGCCTGAGATCAAGTACCGCCGCATCCTGAACGCCTCCCTCGGCCCCGGCGGCTGGGGTATGGTCCCCCGCAGCCCGCACACCTTCCAGGACCGGATCCTCTCGCGCGAGTATGCCCTCTTCGCCATGGGTCGCTTCGTGGGCCAGGCACGCGGCGAGCAGGTGTGTTGCCTCGTCCTCCTCTCTCTCTCCCCCCCCCCCCGTCCGACTTGCCCTTGCTCACTCTCGTTCTCCCGTCGCGCCTCTTCCCATGGCAGATTGTCTTCGACCGCCATGGCTTCCCCACCGCCTCCGAGGGTGTCAAGTCCAACGCCCTGGTGCGCTGCTGCAAGGATCTCGGCATTGCCAGCGAGCTCTGGGACCCGCGCTTCATCCTCGAGTGGAAGCAGAAGTATGCCGTCGAGCGCTGGTGCGTGTTTCCTCGTCTCTGCCCGCCTCCTCCCCGCGCATCCCCTCGCCGGCATTCCGCCACCTACTCACGCTTCTCCGCGCCCCCGCCGGACTGCCGGCAACACAGGGTCACCGACACCCGCACCAACAAGAAGTCCAAGGCCTGGCGCCGCAACGACCGCGTCTTCGACGCCCCTCTCGTCGAGTCGACCTTCTCCTCCAGCGCGGCTGGCGGTGCCAAGCCCGGGGTCCCCGGTGCTGGCGGTGCGCCCCCCGGCGCCGGTGCCCCCCAGACTCGCACC